TGCACATGTGTCCACTTATCAAGTCCATTAATCATTTTAAAACTACTTTTGTCAGTTATAAAGCTTATACATAAAACTGATTTATTAATCTTGTCAAAGTTCTTAAAATCAATCTTAGTTTATTTAAATGTACTGTTAAGGGATAAGGATTTACGTCTGGTGAATTGTTTCAATTAAAAAAAAAATAGTTAATAAACACTTCCTTCCGAATTTTATTTTTTTTAGTTGATAAACCTTAAACACCCCTCCTTGCACTTCTAAAGTTTTGTTGCAAATTTAAATATTCAAAATATTCAACCGACGTACAGGGTTACCCATCAAAGGATGAGACTCAACGAACTTTATACTGTCTGTACTCTGTATCCTTACATTAATGATGTCCTAGAACCGTAAACTTGTTTCTTTCTTTAGCATATCACTTAATAAACCATCAAAAGATTATATGATAAGGCAGAGATTTAATAAACATGAGATAATCATATTTTATGAGTTTCTGGTCGACTTTACAATCTCATTCTTTGTGGGTAACCCTGTATTGGGAACTATACTTGAGCAGAATTAGAATTGAAAAGATGGTATTTAGAATTAAGGAAATTTGCGAAAAGTTTAAATCCTAGATTAGAAAATTATTGGAAAGCATTTTTCAAAATTTATAAAACTATTGATTGTAATTTGTGTTAACTAAAGTCTTCTTTGTTTTAACAGTAAACCTCTGTTATTTCACAAAACTCATTGATCTAACAATAATCATGGTTTGAAATTCAAATAGCAAAGGTCGCCGGTCAGATTACAAATGTTCAGCGCTCAGAAAATTTTTGCAGACAGTTTGATTCGTTCCTTCCTTCTTAAGATTGAACAGTCGATACTGTAGTTTTGTTGCTAGTCCTTTTCCAACCCTGTAAAGGTTCTAAAAACGGAAATTGAAATTATGTTTCCAATCCCTTTCAATTTTCTTCATTACAGGGGACATTATTTCCAAAACTAACACTTGACCCCTTTCTAACACTGAGAAAGTTAAGATGAACACAAATTGAAAGATTGGGTTTTCAGGATCTCGGTACAAATTGAGAGTAAAAGTCGATAATAAAAACTATAACCATTATTTTATTGAGCATGACAAGGACAACAATTCCAAATTTAAACTATTTTCTGAAATCAAAATTATAAAAGGAGTTCCTTTTATATTAAAACCCTTGACCATATTCAAGACAATGTCAGGTTTTCCATTTTCGAACATATCCTTAGTTTGAATCAATTGTCGCGTTTTCGAGACAAAACCTACTTTCCCGTTTTTGAGTATAATCCGCTTTCAGAACAAACCTCACTTTCATATATAACTTACAAAATAAATCACTAAAAGTAAAAATTATCTTATGAAGACTAAATTGACTGCTAAATTATTTCTAAATTCTTAGTTTCCCATTTTATTTGAAAAATAAGGAACAAAGTTGATTTAATTTCCCGAATTTTAGATAACCAATTTCCTGCATCACAAGTTAAATCTGTAATGTAAGAAACTAAATCTATCACTTTAGTTTCAATAGAAGTAAATATTTCCATTTACTGATAGCGCCGGTTGAAGGATTTATCTCTCTGATTGGATGATGATATAGATAGATAGATCTTACCGCCATACTATTTCTATTTGTTCAGAATAGACAACAAACACATTACTGACAAACCCTCATTGGATCAGGCGCTAATGGACTCGGCATACAGGAGTGATACTTTGCTTGTCTGTTTGTCTGTTTGTGTCCCATAAACGTCAAAACTGCTGATCCAATCGGGACCAAATTTTTTGCCGTGAATTAACCTAGGAAAGGTTCATGAATAATCAAAAATTTAAAAAAAAATGCTTTAAAGAATTTTATTTTTGGTTTTCTTTTTAAATTTTGAAAATCCGTATTTTTTATGAGATCCGCGTACTTTTTTACAATGTACACAAAGAGAACATGTTCACAATTGAAATAGAAGATGGGCGTGAAGCGTCCTATTAGCCTAGTAATATCAATATTTTGATTTATTAATGCTATAATGATTATAAGCGTGCAATTATGTTGTAGAATTCAAAGTTTGAAATAACTAAGGTCCATACGACAATGACATCGGGTTGCAAATATTAAATTAGAAAATCTCAGGTTGTGGCAAAAACTAAATTACTTAGAAGGATGAAAACATTATTTTTTGTCTTTTTTACATTTTTAAAAAACTTTTTTTAAATTGAAAAATTCTACCTTTTGAACGTCTACCTTCAGAGCGTCTACCTTTGTAATTCTACCTTTCGTATAAATTCTACCTTTTGTAATTCTACCTTTTTGTAATTCTACCTTTTGTAATTCTACCTTTTGTAATTCTACCTTTTGTAATTCTACCTTTTGTAATTCTACCTTTTGTAATTCTACCTTTTGTAATCCTGCCTTTTGTAATTCTACATTTTGTAATTCTACATTTTGTAATTCTACATTTTGTAATTCTACATTTTGTAATTCTAACTTTTGTAACTCTACATTTTGTAATTCTACATTTTGTAATTCTACCTTTTGTACTGGAGGCAGAAAAAGGGCCTTACAGTAATGAGTTTGAGTTTGCACTTTTTCAAATACTGCAGTATATGGCTCGGATGCTGATGAGATTTTAAAAATGGACAAAAATGTCGGAAAAATGAAAAAAATAGAAAATTTTGTTTTGAAAAATGACAATATGTAACATAGTTGTTTTAAACAAAGAAATTATGTTAAGAACCCATGGGATGGTGTCAAAATGCCCCCCCCCTCGGCCCCACCCTTATATATTTTCTTTCAGACAAAAAATGTGCAAACATCTGAAATTATAAATGGGGTTCT